CTGTCACTGTGGCTGAAAAATGATATGTCCTCCACCACCTTTTTTAGTCCTCTTTCAAAGGCCAAGGCCACCTGTCTGGAGGCAGTGACACTTTAGTGGGTCTTCTAGATCAGAGTTTCTCAACCTTGGCTACTTGAAGATGTCTGGACTTCAACTCCCAGAATTCCCCAGCCAGCGAATGCTGGCTGGGGAATTCTGGGAGTTGAAGTCCAGACATCTTCAAGTGGCCAAGGTTGAGAAACACTGATCTAGAAGACCCACTAAAGTGTCACTGCCTCCAGACAGGTGGCCTTGGCCTTTGAAAGAGGACTAAAAAAGGTGGTGGAGGACATATCATTTTTCAGCCACAGTGACAGCCTGGAACAGCATTTCTCAGTCTTGACAACTAGAAAAGGTGCAGACGCCAACTCCCAGAATTCTTTGCTGGCTGGAGAATTCTGGGAATCGAAGTCCACATTTCTTTAAATTGTTACAGTTGAGAAACGTTGTTCTGAAGCATATTCTCATGCGTGATTTCTTTTTAAACTCTTGTTTTCTTCCTCCACACAGGAAGGCCGTGAGCCTGATTATTCAGAATACAAAGAATTTAAGCTGACTGTGGAAAACATAGGTTACCAGATGCTGATGAAAATGGGCTGGAAGGAAGGGGATGGTCTGGGATCTGATGGTCAGGGTATCAAAGCTCCTGTTAACAAGTAGGTGTCTGATCCCTCTTTTGTTATTTCTTGATTTGGGGGGGGGGGAGGAGCGGAATCCTTTCATTTTCCTGCTCAGAAACACACAGAGCAGCGAACAAGTTAGAAAACTTAAGTTAAAAAATACTCCAAAATATATAGAACATCAGTGTAGAAAGAAGACATTTATAAAATTGATAGAATAAACTCTACTTTTTATATAACATCACCAGCATGTGCTTTCTGATACGACGTATTGGCTTAGCAGCCGAAGGTCCACGTCATTTAGAATAATTTGCTTTTCACATGTTTGGTTGCAGAGAGGTGAGAATCAGGAATGTTTTCAGCAGATGGTAGAGAGGAGAAGCTGCAGAGGGGGAAAAACAAAATAAGCATCTCTTTTTTTTTTTCATCTCTGCATTCATGTGGTCAGACTGAATGACATTGTCAGAAGGAATGTTTGCTTCCTTCTGTGAAACAGACAGGAAGGAATCAGAGGTAGCGTCACATTTGCCATAACCACTGCCATGAGCCTGCCTATCAGTGGCCATTCTAGATCAGGGCTATCAAACTCCTGGCCCACGGGCCGGATATATCACACAGTGGCCACGCCCATGCTCAGTTTAGCAAGGGGGGGGGAGTGCCGGTGTGTCACATGACGCCACTGTGATGATGTGAGTTTGACACTCCTGTTCTAAATAATCTGCTTGGAAGGAATGGAATTAGAATATGCAATGGAATAGAATAGAATAATAGAATAGAATAGAACAGAATAGAATAGAATAGAATAGAATAGAAGGGAGTTGAATTAGAATAATTTTATTGTCACTTTAAATGTACACTAATCAGCATACATTAAAATGAAATTCCGTTGCATACAGCTCTCATACAGCTAACCTGCTGATGACCTGCTAACCCCTTCTCATACCAGAGTCACTGTGAATGCTCTCTTTTTTTAAGGGGTGAAGGAAGACTGGATCATAATTGGGATGGATCTGGCAGTCATAAGTTTTGGTTTGGTAGCAAAGTTTCCCAGTGTAGAAAAAAAATTTAAATATATTTTCAGGTCGTCCTTGACTTATTGACTCTAATTGATCCCAGAATAATGGTCAACAACTGTCATTAAGTGGGTCATCACACGTCTGCGCCCAATTTTAGAACTTTTTTTTTTGCAGTAGATGAACCACCAGAGTCATTAATTAAGCACTGTAGTCATTAAGTGAATCGGTTGTCCGCAATGGGTTGGGTTGTTTTTTGTGTGTGTGCTGGAAATAAAAATTTTTCTGGCAAACCAAAACCCCATCGTAGATTGTAGTCACATAACACAGAATGCTGCAAATAGCCATAAATGTGGTCCACTTGCCAAGCACCCGGAGTAAAGCAGGGCCCAATTGTTGGGATGCCAAATCTGGGTAGCCCTGGAGAGGTCCGCCATAATTTTAAATGGTCACTAAGTGACTGGGTGAAAGTTGAGGACAGAGGTGGTATTCTACCGGTTTGGACTGGTTCACCTGCCCCCCTTTGCCCCTGGCTCTATGGCATCCCATTTAGGCCCTTTCTTTTTACAAAAGTGCATATGCGCGCACTTATGTTTGCGCACCCATAGGAAAGGTAAGTAAATACGATCCCTGGTCGAGGATTGCCTGTATTCTGTTGGATTTTTACCTCAAATTTCATAAAGTTGCTCAGGGAGGTGTATATAGCTGCCCCCTTCTATTTCTCCCCCACAATAATTTTGTGAGATAATTGGGTAGAGAAACAAACAACTGGCCCAAAATCCCCCAGTGAGTTGAGGAGGGAACTGGGACCACACCCTAATAACCCTGTCTTATTTTGGGGGGGCAAATGCTATTATTAATTATATTTATTACTTTTAGCAAGCTTATATAATTCTAATAATAGTACAAACATTTATGCTAAATTGAAATCTTCCATTATTTGTTTATTCAATTTATAATCCTTCATTATTTGGTTATGCAGTATGTCAATGTTATTTTTATGTCAATTACCATATTCTGCATATCATACATTTTAATATAAATAAAGTATTTTAATCATATTTGTTAAATTTAGCAAACATACACATATTCATATTGAATCATATTGAATCATATCATAATATTTCTGTATTTATTTAATCAATAGTTTGATATATTATTTTTATGCCAGTCACCATATTATTTAAGTATACTTAGTAATACCATCATTCAAATTCTAATTTCCCCTCTTATTATTACATACTTCTCCTTATTATATAAAAATGTGTATTTTATTAATCCTCCAAGCAAAACTCACTTAACAAATGTCTCGCTTAGCAATGGAAATTTTGGGCTCCGTTGTGGTCATAAGATAAGGACTACCTGTAATAAGGTATAAGGACCCCTACCTTGGGAAGAGGTTGGACTAGAAGACCTCCATAGTCCCCTCCAGCCCTATGACTCTATGGTTTTAATCCGCCCTGTTTTAAAAGGCCTGGTCTAAGGCAGCTTCCTCATATCCATGCACAAGAAGTAAACGCAGCTCTTTCCCAACTAGGGGGGTGACGGCCGTGGATGGAGCGGGGTTTGGAATCGACCGTCCTGCTGATTTGTCCAAGGATGACGATGAGTACGAGGCCTTTCGGAAGAGGATGATGTTGGCCTACAGATTCCGGCCCAACCCACTGGTGAGAGAAGCCCCGCCCCTTGGGGCCCTTTTTCTCATGTCAGAAATGACTCTTATGCAATTGATTTCTATCTGAAGTGGGTTGGAGATAAATCCGAACAGTCTTTTTGAAATAACCTAGCACTTAGACATATATACCACTTCATACCGCTTTACAGCCCTCTCTAAGCAGTTTACAGAGTCAGCTTTTTGTTCCCCGAACAAGCTGGGTCCTCATTTTATCGACCTTGGAAGGAGGGAAGGCTGAGTCAATCTTGAGCCAATGTCAATCATCCCATTTGCCACATTCAACAAAAGAAAGCTCTTTAAATTAACCAAGAATGTAGCTTTATTGAAAAATCCATCTAGGCATGGCAGAAGCAAAGTCAGTTCTGGATTTTCCCACGAAAACCCACATAGGTAACTCCCCTTTTCCCCTCCAGGCCACCCACAGTTCATAGTTCAACAATTGAGTTCAGTTCTTTGCTTTGGGAAAAGCTCTCTGCTTCGATCAAAATATTCTTCATCACTTGGCCTTGTTAGATAACATCTCTCTCCAGCAACAGACGGTTCACTGACATTCCATAGCCTCCTCCACCCTTAGGAATTCACCACCCTCCTCCCGTCACTCTTTGGCAAAGCTGTGGGTGAAAGCAGGTACAGGTAACTATGGAGTTGAGTCAGGTTTGACTGCGGGTCAGGATCGAACTCCAGGCTGTGGGCAGAGTGAGCCTGCATTACTGCATTCTAAGCATTGCACCACCAGGGCAGACAAGGGCAGGCATGAACTTTTAATTTCTTGACATTTGACCCTGAAAATGTCAGGACAGTCTGTTTTCATTGGCATTTCCTGATCTGAGTTGCCTTTATTGAAGGAGCTATTTGAACAGGTTACTTGCTTCACTGTAACTGATTGACTATATTCTATTGACTATATTTATATGGACTGATTGACTATATATTCTATTTTATTCTATACTAGCCGATAACCCGGCGTTGCAGAGGTATTTATTTATAGGGGGAAAATATCCAGACCAAACATAATTTCTAAAGTTGGATTTTTCCCCTTATCAGAAGGAGCCATCTTGTGGAATACTGTGAAGCTGTTGGCAACTCCACTGCACTGTACAGTAGAATCTATTTTACAGCAGTACAGTAGAAGCCATTTTAAGGCACAACAGGCTGTATCTTAGCAGAACCCCCCCCCTAAGGGTGTCTTACCCCCCACAATATTTTTCTCCTGCGTGTAAGTCATCTGTGTACCAAGTTTGGTTGAAATTGCTCAAGGCATTCCAGAGTTTTGCTGGAATGAACACACACACACAAACCTTTTTGTATAGAGAGATTCTATTCAAGACACTTTGCAGCACCTTTTGTAAGGATTATTTTACCAAACATCAAAATAAGATTAATCACTGAAAATGTTGTATCCATTTACTCTGCAAAAAGAATTCATGTCAGAATATTTAGGAAGGAGATCCTGCTAGTGGGATCTATCCTGATCTGTTATAGAGAAGATGGCTTCCCCTTACGATGCCAGGCAGCTAGCCCAACTTTTCTTTTTCCAAAAACTCCATTCTGTTCTCACACAATGTGTTTGCTAGTTTATTTAAATCTCATTTGAGAAATCCTTCAAACGTACAGTAAATCTTCAAAACTTCATGTAGCCATTTTCTCTCTCTGTAGCTCAGCTTTTATTTAATCTCGCATATATAACACAACATTAAGTCCATGTTAACTGTGGGAACAGTAAAAATAGCAGCAGTTGTGAAAAGTTATTATAGAACATGCAAACAACAGTTCTAAATGCAACACCAAAAGCAGCAGGTTGCACAACAGCTGCTCTTCTTCATTCTTGGAATGAAACTTGAGGTAATCCTCAACTTACAACCATTTGTTTAATTACCAGTACCAGTTTTTGTTGGGACCTGGAGTTTGCTTCCTTTCTTGGGAAGCCTAGGTCAGAACAGGCAGAATGTCCTTGACTCTCAGAGAAAGGAATGTGGCGCAGTGGTTAGGGTGTAGTACTGCAGGCCACTTCAGCTGACTGTTATCTGCAGTTCAGCGGTTCTAATCTCACCGGCTCAAGGTTGACTCAGCCTTCCATCCTTCCG